AAACACAAAGTATTTTTTGTCTATCTTACAAAATGCAGATCATATTTTTTTAACAATATATTTATTAAGTTTTAGAAGACATAAGTCAAAGACAGAAACAAAACAAACACTCCCACAATGCTGACAAAGACAATGAAAGCAATACATTTACAAATCAAACTGACAGTTGTGAGGTTGTTAGAAAACCGGATTATCAGGCCTTAAGATTTGGTTGACATCACAACCCAAAAGCTTAATCTTGTAGGTATATTTTTCCAGATAAGTCCATAGAGGCTTTTCTGGACAGGGTGAATTTGAAAAACCAATGTAGTCCATTATACTTTGTAAACACTCTGAGAGTTTAGAAGGCTTTCCAGAGATCCACTCAAGTAGAATGCATCATCTGATACTAAATAAGAGTCCATGGAGCAGTCTTAACCTATGAGGTGTAAGATTAAGACCGAAGTGCAAACTAAGGATTGAAGACAATAGAATACAATCTAGATCTTGTCCCAACAGTTCACAACTTTTTCACATATATTTCTCCAGAGGCTTTTAAGAAAAGGAAAAATAAAAAATACAATGATAGTATGGTCCATCAGAGATATTGCATTTGTTACATTAGGCTCAAATTTATTTGATAACAGTTGTGTAATCTGAAGCCTGTGGATAATTTTAAATTGCACTTTCTTTACTCTATTTGTTAATAAACAACCAGCGGAACTCAGCCATAGCACTCTTCTTTCATCGTCCGCGATACAGAATTGTTTTTTACAATTTTTTATTGATTAAAACCAAAAAAATTAAATGACAACAAGACCACATGGTAGCTCTAACAAAAGTTACTTTATTGAGAGTATTAGTTACTCACTAAAGTAATGGTGTTCCACTAACATGTTCGCTTTAGCCCATTTAGACCCTTCTGATGTTGTGTCTGGATCAGGAGAGGCTTGACAGGAGAAAGATGTCAAGAAGTGGCCCTTGATCTGGAAACATTTGTGTATTGAAGTTGTTAAAGCTTTTTCTTAGTGGAGGGTGTGACATTTCTGCAGTCTTTTTCATGACAGTGTAGGCCATTACACCATAGCAGTACTTCATTATTAAACATGTAATTTCAGAGCTTCAACAACTGTCAGTTTGGCAGCTTTGTAATAACCAGTATTTAGGCCATCTGTTGAGATCATTTGTAAAATCCTAGATTTTGATAATGTTGGGCTGTAACACATCAACATTTTAACAACATAATTTCTCAGACACAGAAGAGTCCAGCAGATGAAGTCAGGTCCAGGATTTTACAATTATTAATCAGTTAACTATGCTAAGGGCTGAATATAGTGCTAATTATTTCCAGCAAGGTAAGAATTGTTGCCGTTTTTATTTATCTATGTGGTGCTCTACAAGCTACAGAAATTAAATATGAAGACAATGAATATGAAGACAACTTTTCGGCAGTGCCGACCCCTGCCACTTTGCTATACCTGGCAGTATCGTGTGGCACGTGTCTTTCAGCATGGCAGATTTTAGCAAAACATATTACAACCCAACTGTAGAGCAAATCTGACCTTATTGCAATTTATCTTAAATTAATTTTGTACGCTACTAACTCCTGTGTTGAAACAACTCTGCGTCAATAAAGCTAAAAGAATTACAGTTTGCCCTATGTTGCCAAGGTAGTAGCAAACTAGATAGCCGGTTTAGCAGGCAGCGCTATACAAGAAGAGTCTGAGAGCCTTTACAATATAGCTACTCCATCTCACTACTACTTGAGATGACCTTCCCTCCTACAACCATAACAGGAAGCTGTTGTCACCATAGCAACGGTCAAAGCTCTGGCAGGGACTGTTGCACAGGACTTTTACACATGACAGTGCTCATATTCAAAACCCACTAGAGTCTAGACCAGGGGTCACCAACATGGTGCCTGCAAGGACCACATGGGGTGCCCTCAGAGTCTTCTTAAAACACAACAACTCGCTAATGAGTTAAGTTTGAAATGTTATTGTATTATGTTGCTCTTTTAAAAAAAAATAATTTATAAAGACTCATCATATTGTCTATGGCAGGGGTCTTCAACGTCTTACAGGCCAAGGACCCCCAAACTGATGGCGAGATGGAGGAGGGACCTCCTAATTATAGGCTATATCTTGTTTGAAATTGTGTTAGGCTATATGAAACTGGTCCTATAGTCACTCCATTACAGATGGAGTCACGTAACGAAAGTAATTTGGCCCTGAGATTATTAAAGTATTTCTGATTCTGATTCCTCGTTGATGGGACAGGTGTTGGGAATGAAATGGTGCCCAGCTTGAAAGAGCTCCTGTGTGTCGCTGAATGTGTGCATTCATGTAAATTTGTATTTAAAAGGCATTTCAATAAGTGGAAAAAATAACAGGGAGTATAAAACATGCAGTACCTCTATGCACCCCCTAGGGGTCACGGACCCCCTGTTGAAAACCTCCGGTCTATGGCATTTGAGCATTTATAGATTCCAAAATGAAAATGTCTAAAAGAAAATTTGAAATTAAAAGAAACAATAAAAATATGTTTATAATGTATGAAGTTTAGGTGAACACTAACCCTTGTATTGGTAGCCCTTCCTATATATCAGTACCCTGGAATGAGCCCTCATCTGTGAAAATGTTGGTTACCCCTGTACTAGACATTCTCCTGCTTGATGGTATGTAATGACTCAATTTTGTTCATTTTTGATTCTGTTTCTCTTTAAGTTTCTAAGTTAATATGTACTGCTTTGAAGCTGCTATAAGTCTCATTGTCCTCTATTTGTTGCAGAGGTGTTTCACATTTTATCTGTCCAGTTCCCTTTCCAGTTCACACTTGAAAACGACAAGAACTGTAGTCAATGTCTGTTTGTGTGTCATTTACAGTCTTTTTATACCAATTTAAACCCCCTTAAGCAGTGTTTTTTCAAAATTCAACATTTCAAGGTATATCCTTAACTCTAACAATGTAATAATGGCTTGTGTCAAAATTGCTTTAAAATGAAGTTGAATATTCATGCTTAACAAAGTTTTTTTTTTTTTAGTGCGGGTAAAAAACAAAAAGAATGTGCTGATTAGAAATGAAAAGAGGAAAATCCAGAAACCTAGATCCTGATTACGTTGGATATTAAAGTGCAATATTGTCACTCTTACTAATTAACTTATAACATAGCCTAAATTAGGAAATCTCCGGGTCGCTGTCAAGTCTGGTGATAACGGGACTCTGTTGTTGACATGAGCTGCCAGTAGTGTGAGTATCTGCTGATAGTTTAGGGGGAACGTCAGCCAGAGCTGTAGTGTGTGAATGGCTGAGACTGCTGCCTGCTGAATAGTGGGTTGCAGAAAGAACAAAGTGCCTTTGATTCTGTTACAAAAAGCCAACAAATCAGTGGCGGTTTTAGACTAAATTCACCACGGGGTAAGGGTTGGGGCCAGTGTTTTTTTATTATATTTTTTGTTTATATGGGAGTGCCAGCGTTTTTTATTATATTTTTTTTATATGGGAGTGCCAGTGTTTTTTATTATATTTTTTTTATATGGGAGTGCCAGTGTTTTTTATTATATTTTTTTATTGGGTACAGAACAAAGAAATAACACACACACATACAAAGAAAACAAGGCAAGCATGTTTAGTATAATAAGTAAGCCACAAAACAGAGGTTGCACACAGATCTAGCCAATAAAAACTGTGATCCGTTCTCAGTAAGGATCTTAAAGCTGACTGTAATTTATTTATAAGAGTTAAAGTGAATTGTCTTGGCAAAATATTAAATTGGTCCAAGTGTTATATCAGTGTCTTCTATCATCACATATAAAAAATTGTTTTAGAACCATATTCTTAAAATAAGTGTATTAGCCCTTATTTTGAGCTGGTAAATAAGCAGACAAAGGGATGGAATCGAAAAGTAACATCACTATGCATTTGAAATAAGATATTTTTTTTGTTTTTTTCTTAGATTAAACTTAAATAATCTTAATCTCTCTGCAAATGTCTTACGCCTTACTTATTCCTTAAATCATGGTAAAATATACTTCCCACAAAGAAAAAAGTGCATACTTAAATTTACATTTTTGCTGTGTTTTAAGTACAGGGGCCATAACAGGGGCACTATGGGGGACTGATCCAAAACCTGTATTAATTTTCACAATTGAATATCAGTTTTTTTAAATATCTGGATATATATTCGTCCCTCTCCTCTGTCATCATCCCATCAAAATGTGCAACAAACACAACAGTGGTTAATCTAAATGGGGGCAAATGGGGCCATTGCCCTCTCTGCAAATTATTGCCCCCCCCCTGTGACCTCCCCTGCAGGGGTCACAGGTAGACAGGTCCTTGGAGGATGCAGCCTGAGAAATAGAACACCCATATTGTTTCAGACGACCCTCTGTGGGCATGTCCGAACATGGTGAGAAGAGAGTAGAGAGTACAGATTGGGAAAGGGCCTGACTTTTAACAAATAACATCAAACCCTACTTAAACCTGGTCTGGTCACATTCAGCAACTGGGCTAACTGCTATAAGCAAAAAACAAGTATTCGATTTAGAATATAAAGCATTTAAAGTCTGAAGAACATGTTGACTAACAGTTGTTGGACATTACTGATGTCGATGTCTAGCAGCCATATTGGATTTTTAAGCTGGAAGAAGGTGGAACTTCTAATCTTCCACGGTGAACTCCTGACTTCAGATTTTGAGATGTAAAAAAAAAAGAATTATAATACATATATATATATTTATTTATTTCTATATAAAAATTGACCTTAAATGTTAATAAGCATCTATTAAACCAAACTGCATCTCAGTTGTCTGCAAATATTTGACCTCTGTGTGGATTAGTTGAACATATGTGATGTGTGGATTGTGTACATCGACTTTACAACATTGTAGACATACCACCACGGTGGACACAGACTAACTGATAGCTCCATTATCAAACCCCATCTGGTATCTGGCTGGATTTAAATCCAGAGTATAAATCTAACATCTCATTGGTTAGTGATCTGACACACAACAATAGGCTCCTACTTTCCTGTTTTATTGGAGAGTCCAGCTCCAAATACACAGAAAGGAAACAGTATTGCTGACTAATGAATATCAAAATAATTTCAGTGCTGATGCTTGATTATCTGCCTTTGGTTATGCAATAATAATGCCCATGCAGTATCTCCAATAAAGACAGCCAGTTAGTCTGATTTCAACACCTTTTTTTGGAGATGGAGGCAAAAAGTGTCACAGGAGCTCGACAGCTCTCACAGGCCATGTATGCAGCACAGGTGCAAGTAAAAAAAATTACCAGATGATTCATATTACCTCATCAATTCTCCCCTAGATGCCAAATGCTTAAGAAAAGGGCATGCCTAACTTTGATTAATTTGGATAATAATCATCTTCTAATCAGATCTGATGATCCCCAAATATAAGAACATAAATAACAAAACAAATGGAATGTTTTGCTCCATCACAATATTTAGACTTCTTTCACTACGCAGCACTTGGCAAGATGAGATATGGTAAGTCAGAAGTAGTGGAGAATTCACTGAATTAAAGGAAAGAAACTGTGTAAATATTTTCTCATTAAACAGCCTTAACATGAGAAACTGTGCTACATTACATGCTAACAACTAAAGGGCACAGTAACAGCAGCAGCTGCCGATGCATTTAAAGTTATGCTACAATACTTTTCTAGCTCAAAAAAAGGCTTCCAACCTCTACAATATTCCATACAGAGCAATGCATTAATGTGCAGATAATCAGCAGGAACACAAAAACTAGTTACAGACAACAGAAATCTTAGGCTTAAATTAAGACAACTCTTGCCTACATCATTGTTTGAACATTTTCCCTCTGGAACAGTTTAGCTTTTTCTAGATCAGACGTCTGTCCACTGGACTAAATATTTTGACCATTAAATGCTATCTCTAAGACAAAGACCCAGAAAAAAAAACTTAACCAAGGGTCTGTCTTGAAAAGTTCTAACAACAACAATGGGTATAAAACTTCTACGTTTTGTTCAAAATTCAAAAGGTCCCCATTATGTGGATCAGAGCCAATCTTTCGACATGTTTCCATCAACTGTCTTTTGCACATTGGAAGTGCATTTGAAGTCTTACATGAAAAAGCAAAATTCAGATAAACGTATTAAAACGTTTTTATGTTCACCTGAGGTGATTTTTGACTCTGAAAAAGCATAAATGCGCTAAAGAGGCGATGGAGACACATTTTTTGAAAAAGTTCTGTAGTAGAAAATATTTACTCTACATGAGTGATCGGCTTTTTCTGTCCTGAATGCAGCATCAGAATCAAACCTCTCTCAGTGTCTCCGGATGGCATGAACCATCGGTAATACTAGAGGACATGAGAAAGTAAGTAAACTTGCATGATTACAACACATACTGCGGTCTGGCGCTACTTCCTGTTTACCAAGCATAATATCAATGTATGAAGACATTATGCTTTGCATAGCCTTGTTAATTCGCTGCAGTGGGTTAGATAAGAGTTTGCATCACATTTGGATAGAAGCATGGATTTTGTTAGAGATTAAACATATGTCTGCTCTCAACAAGCTGTTTATCTGCTGTTCAATTTTACTTGCATTTGGAGCTTTAGTGAAAATAAAAACAGGAGTTAATGTGCTACTCTGCTCATTTGGAAAGAAAGGGGTCTTCATTGAGTCGTAAACGATTTTAAAGCTACAATCTAGCAGAGTATGGAGATTAAAAAAGATTTAAGCCAATGCTACAAAATACCATAACTGATGAAAGGAGAATCAGTCAAAGTCCGTTTCAGATTAATTGATTTTCATTGTCTTCATGTGACTTAACTTATATTTCAGCATATAGGGCTCATATGTATGGAGGCCTTAATCCTCAACACAGTTTGAGTTATGGCCGTTTGCCGCATGTCTCCCTCTTAATTTCCTGTCGGTTGAGATTCTTTATTTGGTCAATAGTGCCAAAATGACCTTTAGAAAATGAAGATGTCGAAATCAGCTGATGCAGGTACTGGGAGAAGGTGAAACAGTATACTAGAAATATGAGTCCAGACCCTGCTGGAATCACTTAAAACAACAAGAATGATGGGATTGAGTTTTTACACTCGGAGGGCTGAGGCTTGTGTTCCGACCCAGTACTGAACCTGATCCCATCCAAGAATGTAACAGAATGAAGCAAAGCTTCTTCATCTTTAGAACAAGGATGCTGATGTCAGAGGGGCAGAAGTCTGCCTTGTAAAGCAGTCGCGTCAAAGTCATCTGATCTGTGCTGTGGGTGGTGATTTGGCTCAAGGTCTGAGGCGTTTTGGGAAGTCAGTAAGAATACACCAACTCCCAGTCAACTCTGCTGTATGCCAGGCTAACCTGAGCCTGCTGCCAGTTTCTGGGAACCAGCCAGATGGTGGCGCCAAACACACCAGACCTGGGAACAACAAGCTACCAAAAGAGGAAGTCAAAAAAACAAAAACAAAACAACAACAGCCTTTTTCTAATGATATGGATCCATGACAGATCTTCAGCTTTCATCAGTGTGGAAAACTGGTCTGTTGGAGATAAACACAGCTACGTAGGCTGTTCTGGTGATAAATCACCTTTTTACTGGTTCTAGTCTCCTTCTCCTCTTCTAGATAGACGGCATATAAACCAGAGATTGGATGTTTAGCTAAGCTAAAGATGACAGCAGTAAGATCATGTCTGTGAGATCCAGGTGTCTCCATAGTGCATGGACATGAAGGTCCAGTTTACCTTAAGTCCATTAACCAGAGCAGCAGATGAACAGGGTGGTCCTCTATTCTGCCTTCTAAAGCGTCGCCAAATCAAGAGGAGATGTTCGATCTCAGGATGTGATCAGTGTCCTTCTGAGAACCATTCAGGCTAGATTAAAAATCTCTAACTTGGAGGACAAAATAACGTCTGTCAACAGGACTCGGGTGATGAAACCAATCATTTCACCAACGTAACAGATAGAGGATCACAAACACTATCTGGAAGCTTTCTATGAGGAGATCTTCTGTGTAGAGAACAGAACCGTTTAATGGCTACCCTCTGGTCATACAGAAGGCACCAAGTTCAATTTATTTATCTTTAATGCTTCTACCAAGTGCCACAAGACTTCTAACCGAGGGAGCAAAGTGCAGCTACAATCTGTGGAGAAACAGCAGAAGCTGACGGTAAATGTCCTAAAGACAGCAGCTTGGAGACAGCTCCAGTGTCTGAGGAGGAAAACATGATGGGAGGGCGAACAGGTTTATATTGCACAGGGGTTATGGAGGTCCTCAAACACCTGGGGCTCTTCGATTCCTCGTGCGAATAGCTTGATTAACCGGCAGTGCACTCTGAGGAGGAAAACAGAACAAAGATTTTAGAGGAGCGTCTGCAGACCATCGGTAGTTTAAGTTTCAGCTCTGGGAAGGCTGCGGTACCTGACATCGATGGCTGCGTGGGTCAAGATCTCACCATCACAGTTCCAGCTGCTGTAGGTGCGGGCACAGCCACAAGCCGGGTGGTCTCTGCAGATCTGGCTGAAAATCTGCCGTTTGCTGTTCCCCAGCAACTCCAGCTCTAGGTCTGAGTCGCTCTGGCAGTGACGTGGGGTAAAGCGGAAACGCACCACTCTGTGAACCTCAACAAAGGCCAGGTCGAACTAAAAGAGAACAAGAGAAGAAGAAGAATGGTGTGTAAAAGATTCAGAGAAAGAGAATGTGGGTAAAAATTTAGACTTGCTTTTGCAGCATACCTGATCATCTTTGTTGGTGTGTCGCAGGAGATGTCGGAGGAAGTTGAAGCGTGAACACTTTCTAACAAGGATGAGGTCAGTGGTGCCATCAGCCAGGTGGGCAGCAGGGGAGAGACCTTTGGGGCTACGAGGACAAGCACAGCTCATACAGGCCGCGTTTATAGCCAAGAACTTTCCTCGGACCGTCCTCCACTCTCCATCATTCTCTGAAACACATACACCCCACCAAGACACAGGTAAAGTGTCAAACTACGACCTCGTGTCCTTCTGCTAACCCCAAACCTTCACTTCTTATAGAATTATCTTATTTTAGTTCTACACTAAAATAGATCCAGGTAATCCAAAGGTATGCCTATATCAAAATTCTTCGCTTCTACTACGCCTTTAATTTTAATGTTCGACCCAGTAATAATAAATAATCTTCCTTTCTTATCTAAAACTTTTTTTTCTGGTTGCTCTCCTGTGAAACCAAGTTTTAATCCATGCGGCCATCTATGTTTAAAGGGGAAATTTAACGTTCAACCATATTATCTATCGACGTTATATCCAATGTATACAATTGCTACAGCTAGCACTGACCAACCCCCATGATGTAACTGTTAGAGGCACTGCAACATGGTAGGGCCCTTTTTAAAAATTATAAAACAAAGCTTCTTTTTCTTTATTTTGCTTTTATATTTTTCACATTTCTAATATAGTTATTGATAATAGTAAGACAGTCTTGTGAATTAAGTTAGTCTGGTTGAATGTTTCATAAATTAAGTCCTTGGCTTGAAACTTTCCTTTCTGTTAAAAGCTTGGCTCAGGTTATCGTACACTGCAAAATCTTGACATCTAAGTAAGTACATTTTTATCAAAATTTGTATTTTATTAAATTAATTTTTTTTAATTAAGCAGGTAAGAGACTTGGCATATAGAATAAGACAACCTGCATTTAAAATAAGAAAAAAAAAATAACTGCAGTCTCTTATTTCAAGTGCATAAAATCTAGTTATCTTATTTTAATGGTAAACAAAACACTCAGTTTAAGCAGATCATTTTATTTATCAGCTCAAATTAAGGGTTAATACAGTTATTTTAAATTATTTTTGCAGTGTATAATTATGTTGCAATCGACCTACCGCGCATGTCTCTGCTAATGGGATCCCATCTCACACTTGATGATTATTATGTTATTGTTTTTTTAAGAGTTTGGCTTTCTTAATAGTTTATCGTCTCCTGCACTGTGGCTGCATAAATATGCTCACTGTGGGGGATTACTGCAAAAGCAATGACTGGATTCAGTCAGCTGGGATTCCTTAAATTTAAAAACTAACTCATCTGTCTGGATGATTAGAATGAACTGTCCATCCAAGTGCCTATAGCTGACACATTGTGAATTTGTGCTATATACATAAAATGAGGTAAAATTCCATTTAACACAACAACAAATTATTACAGGCTGATATACTTTCACTAAAGTTTGAAAGTGGAGCATAATTCTTCAGCTTTAAACCCAGAATTGAGGAAGTTCTGCAAACTGGCGTTGGTTGGGAGCTCTTGAAGGCTGCCCGCTGGACTTACCACAGTCTGAAGCTTCATCCATCTCATACTTCACGGCTCTGTCTGATCGGATCTCTTCATTATGCTGACAAACTGCACAGCTGTAGAGTTAAAAACAGAAAGAAATAATTCACTGCATTTGTCTTTTCCTGGATGGGCTCTACCAAAACTCGATCTAGGACCACTGGAGTGCTACTCCAGGCTCGGTGACAAACAAACCTATTCTGATTCTGATGATTTGGGTAAGTTGGGTAAAATGTATTATTATTATTAAATAACAGGATACAATAGTATTTAATTGCATAACAGGGATAACTAAAGTAGGGTTCACTCTTTTAAAGACATTCAACATTGTCGAATTTCTAACTAAAGCCTTGGTCAAGGTCATGGTAGATCACGGTCAATTCTTACATTTTAAAATGTAGGCCTAGGATAGAATCTATGTTTTGACAAAGTAAACCTCTATCTATAGGCTATTTTATTCTGAGTCAAACACTGCAGTGAGCAAAGGGAGAGGAGTCGATATGGGAAATGAACATGCTATATCAATAAGCTGAAATGAGTATGAACAATCTCCACTTTTAAAGGGAAAGGAGAACCTTTTAGGCTTACAAGCAATTTACTTTCATGGTAATTTAGTAGTGGGATTTTTTTCGTTATCCACATCGATATCTAATTGATATCTTAAGTCATAATATGTGCACGGGTATACCATGGCTGTTTATAGAGGGAAGAAAATCAATAGATATCAAAAATTTATCAGAAGGAGTTTTTAAACTTAAAATACTTTTACTTAATGAAAGCACAGAAATAGATATTGAATCTAATCGTGGCCTAAGGAAACAGACTGTGAGTTTCCCAACAATGCCCAGCCATATTGGTGTACCTAAGTACAGGACCAAGTGGAATACATAGATCTACGATGATAAGATGTTCCCTCACCCAGATCGACATCTGCTAGTATCCCGTGGAGTTCCAACAGCACCTCTGGCTGGCAGGTAGGACACGGTTCCCTCGTAGTAATGGTGGGTCAGGAACATTTTCGCACCTGCAGCATCCAGAGCAGCGAGTCAGAATCAAAGACAGAACAAACACAGCTCTGTGTTTAAGACAAGTTTTACCTGAAATGTCATATCTGGCGAGGCCCATCCATCTCTTTCTTTCACTGTCACTTAGTACATCGCCATAGAAACCATATCCCAGCAAAGACACTGAGTATCGCAGAAACACGTTGTTGTGGTGAACAGAGGACACGTCCAATGGCTGAGAATCTCCTGAACACAAAGAGGAAGGTTCTGATAAAGCTCCTCTGGACATTTAGTCACATTATAAACATCTCTGGGCTGACATCTGACAGGCCAACACTGAGCACAATGAACGTGTGAAGCAGAGGACAGCCATTTATCCGAAGAAAAGGACACAGTCAGAACAGTAACCACTGACCAATGGCACCAGTAGAGTCCACCAGAATCAGTGACCAGAGTCCAAATATTTGTAATTTAATTGCAGTTGGACCATAAAGGTCTCAGAGGTCCTGTAGAGAACACCAAAGAACGACCATGATGAAAACTAAGCATCCCAGCAGACAGGTCATACTGGAGATGCTGGTTCAGATTTTGGCCAGTTTAGATTTTAGATAGATCCTCTAAACAAGGAGAGAGAATGGTCCACCTTCAGACCAACCAGGAACTGGATTCTCACAGGCTGGAGAGGGAGAACATTAATAAGTAAAGAAGAGTACCAAATAGGCACTGGAGGAGCTGCAGAGATCCACAGCTTAGATGGATCACCTGTTGACAGGATAACTATTAGACTGAAGAGGGTAGCAATGAAAACAACTCACAAAAAGCCAAACACGGTTGATGGCACAATCCTGATGTAAGAGGTTTTTAGCTGGTTAAAGATAAATGGACGAGGCTATATATGGGAGACACCAGAAAGAGAGGCTGAAAAGGAGACTTCACTGTTTTGGAGTTGGGGTTATATGACAAGAAAATGTATGTTTGCAGATAGCCTCCAACCAGTCAGGCTGGGCCTTTTACACAGACGGATATCAATGTCCGCCATCAGGGAGGTGTTCTCAATTATTTGCACACATATAATGCATGGCACACTTTCAAGACTTCAACTTTTGAAATCCAGGAATACGGTTCTTTCCACCTCTGCATAATTCACTAACTTCTTGGTCTGTCCCCCATGATCCCTGCAAAGCACCCTTCAGTTCATGGTTGGACTGGGACACAATGTGGAATGGTTTCTGGCATGTTAATGAATACCTCTACACTGTAAAAGGGGGGTGAAGTACATGAAACAGATTTCCAATGAAATAAAGAGACTTGGAAGGATTTCTGACAGAACCAGGGAATGATCTCCAAAAGTTCAACACAGCAAACAACCTATGTTCAGTCCGACGGGTAAATAAGGAACTGTAGGAGTATTTCATGACTGACCTAATATGATGTGCAGTGCAGATGTGATTGGGTCATTGGTTCCCACCGTGGCAAAGCAGATACAGTCTGTTGAACCTGGAAAACACAGAAAAATTATTTAAAAAAAACAGGGTAGAAAAGTCCCACTGACACCAAGGTGATTTTCACAAATAACTGACACAGACCAAAAGCTGCAACATCTCTGGGATGTTGGGAGGTGAACAGAGGAGGGCAGTGTTGAGACCTGCAGCTACAGTCTTTGTTTTACTTGTAGGACTAGACATATGAGAATCAAATGACAATGCTTATAAAGGAGGAGCAGATCCAGCAAAGTCATTGACTGGATGAAATCGACTGGGTTTCCTTAGATAGAAGACTATCAACCAATCTGGTTGATCAGATAAATGAGTCTCAGTAAAGTACCTCTAGATGACATGTGTCATGAATCTGTGATGTAGAAATCTGAACTAAATTGAGTGGCTGACTCTTGGCATGGGAGGGATGTCCACTTATTTCTAGATAGCGTCATCAACACTACAGACAATATCAAAAGAATAACAAGTAAAAAGGAGGAAATCAATGCTTTTCTTTGAGCCTGTGGAAGAAAACAAATGAAACAACTCGTCATCATTTTTGGGAAAGAACTTAAAATACTAATTATATAACTTAATATAACTTATTATATGAGCAATGATAAAGAGACCAGAGGCAACAGAGAGATAGAAAGATATACACAAAATAAAAGTAAATTACTTTATGTAATATTCAGCATTATTATCAATATCCTATTGATAATATTCAGCACATTTTAGGTGGTTTAAACAGTTTGAATTCAGACTGATTTTGTTTCAAAGCTCACTTTCACGTTGCACTTTATATAGCTTGAAGCTGCTCTGTACACTTGTTTCTAAATGACAGGTTAGAAACAAGTGTACAGCTCCAACCCCATTATCCTAAGCCGCACACACCCCTTTGTCAAAAAAAGGACCTCCACCCATGCCAGCTTGGTACTGACCCGCTGGCCAACCCACAAACCCTCTGCCAGGACAACACAACAGCCATCACCACGATTATGCAAAATGCCCCCCATCGTCCCACCAAACCAAATGCAACCGGGCCTCAGCTGCAGTGCCCCACACCACAAACCCAAAGTCGCCCAGGCTCTTCAGCCACTGAGAATACTGTCCTTACATGCTCTGTAATAAAGAGAAACCACACTTTACTTTTCTTAAAGGTACTTCAGGAGATTTATACTTTTGATCCTGACAGTATCATACAGAATAAAAACCCTGCTAACTTTAGGCTAAGTAGAACTTTCAAAACACCTTATGTTTACCTGCAGGGATGATTCCAATGCGAAGCGAACAGGGAGACAGGGCTTCATCAGGACAGTTTGGATCTATGCCACTGTCGATCTGTGTCCTCCATATCAAACCGTGGATGATCTCACTGAACATGCCGTCTCCTCCCACACAGACCACACTGGGGAGTGAAAAGGCGAGATAGGGAAAGGTAGGAAAGATTGTTCTGATAAAATAACTGATTAAAATGTGACCAAACTCACCCATCAAAGTTGCTGAGCTCAGCATCCGTCCTCAGGTGATCCCTGGCATGATTGGCATACTCTGTGACTGTGACAGACAAACATAATTTATCAACAGAAGGTTTTCATTGACAAATTACAGCAAAGGCTACAGGGAAAGGACCTACCGATGACCTGAGTAGAGATCCCGGCTTGTGCAAACAGTGGTGCCACCTTGTGTTCATAGATGTGCTTGCCCTGACGCTTCCCACCATATGGGTTGATATAGACCAGCAAGCTTCTGGGTCTGCCAGCTGCACACACACATAAGGGTTCCAATCCTTCAATAACAGCTGATCTAATACTGATGTGTTCATATTTCAGACCGTGTGTATGTCGTACAGATGCTGGCAAGCTGCTCTCTGATGCTGCGGACCCAGTTCCAACAGAGCTCAGTGTCCGGACATGTGAAGGTTACCTCAGCACACCGCCAGCGGTGCTGCCGACACCTCTCCACGTACGACACTGAAATAAAGTAGAAGCATTGAGTAAACTTCTCTATTTGGACAGCACAAACTATGGATGACTTAGCAGAAATGCAATCAGACAAACATACATCCTATTGATTGAAACACTAGCCCCATTTACACTACCCTCTGAAAACCGATCTGTGCTGAGTTCAGACCGTGCTTGGATCGTTTAACCATGCAGAGATCGGTTCCTTACGATTGTTAACACATCACGCTAGCACGGTTCCTAGCCTCCTATTGATAATAATAATAGAATTTCATTGATCTCCCACTGGAGAAATGTATCTCTGCATTTAACCCTTGGGGCGCAGTGTGGGGTTAAGGGTCTTGCTCAGAGACCCATAGTGGAGGCTGTGGGGATCGAAGCGGGTACCTGCAGCCTTCTTAGAGCATGAGCGCATTTCTCAAACCCACTAGGCCAGCACACTCCTAATGTCGATCCACGGTACTACTGCTCTCTAGAGGGAAACAATCAAATCAACATGGCGCGCCCAAAACCTTCAGCAAGATTGGTTATAATTGTGATATTTCGTTGTTTGTGCAGAGTTAGGCGAAGAAGGCAGCCTTTGGTCAAATTACATGATAGAGTCGACTTTGGAAAAGTGGATATGACAAACAGTCTAATCAGGGCTTACAGGCACAGGAAACAACAACGGGCGTCGAGGTTTATCCCACTGCTAAGCAGAATCATCACTGTGTGGCAAGGTAGGGAAGCTAGTATTCTTATAAATGTCTGAAATTTCATGATTACGGAGACTGACTGTAAGGAGATGACATGGTCTGCTCCTGCACTAAACTGTGCTGAGCCCTACTGGTGAAGAGTTTAGCGCTGTTCGGTTGTGTCTGGCACATTCCGTATAGGTGCCATTTACACTCAACAGTTATCTTGGTTGCAGTGCTCAGACCGATCTCGGCATGGTTTCAAAGGGTAGTGTAAATGGGGCTATGATGTTATAGTCAAGTTCCAAAGCCAATAAATAAAGCAATACTGTTAAGTATACATATATATAAGATAGGGCATTAACAAGTTGCGATTTTTCTAAATGGACTATATGACAGCAAGAGTTGAAGTTAAGTCGATGTGTTGTTCTGTGACATCATCACATTAAGGAGGGGCAAGGTGCGGCCAAAAATGAATTACAATACATCATGCTGCAGGTCTTGGTTATATCAGGTAGGTCTAATCCAGCTTTTATTGCCGACAGTAGTGTTTGCTCTGCTAAGTCCATACAATAAGCTAAATGGACCTTTCAAGCTGTCCAGATGCAAGTCGACTCATCTTAATTAAGTCAACAGACCAGCTACTAGCTAAGACTGCCTAAGTTGCAAGCTGGAGAACATAATAATGTGTGGTGTCCAAAGGGTCTTAACACAGGCATAGCAGCAGAGCAGAGGTCCAAGTCCAATCCTCCAGGGCTTAGATCCGGCAGCTCTTACATGCATCCCTTCCCCTGCACACCTGACCTTAATGAATAGCTCATTACCAAGCCTCTTCACACTTGGGGGACTGATGATCACAGGAGTCAACTATTTGAATCAGGATTCAGGTTTTAGAATGTCACCTCTAAGTGACTGGAGCTGGACAGCTCAGCAGAAGTGATACCACAGCGGAAGAAACGTTCATTATTTAGCTTGTTGACAGCAGAGGTGTCAGATGTATTCCCATTCTTTACTTTAAAAATGGTAAAAGTAAAACAACAGATTTAACTCATTAATTCAGGTTCTACATTATACCCAAGTTTAAAAGTAAAACATTTTGAGCTATTATACGCAAATCTTTTTTAAAAAGTATTCCTAAAGAAAGTTATACGCACAGAAAACCTTTGCTTACTGTAGCGGTAGAATAATTTCTCTATAAAGGAGGTGTCTTGAAGCTGGCATTGCCAACAAAAGCTTTTGTAAAAAGTATTAAATAACTGTAGGCGTGTTCAATACCTTTTCCCTGTGCCATTCCACATTATTAAACATAACTTAATTTTAACAATTTCCTTAGACAATAGGTCTGTACTTGAGACATTGCTTTCAAACAGAGAGTGTCTTGCCAATGCAGCAATAAATCTGTTTGCACTACTTCTTCACCTCTTCAAAGCGTACAATAAAAAAAAGCATTTATGGTAAAAAGTTATAATGTTAAAATAATACTTATGATTAAAGGTCTTTATGAATGTCTAGCTTTATGGATATTTTTATCATCACCTATGATCAGTAAGGTAGAAAATAAATTTAACAGCATCAGAGTCTGCTGAACTCAAAATGTTTACCACCAAGATGATTAACCTCAATATTTTTCTGATCATGATATATTTTTGATTAGCAAGATTAAATCAGCTTACCTGTGAAAGCCTGCCTGGAGTCCTGTCCTCCTCTATCTTTGATCTTCTTCCAGCTGCTGTCATCTTTGTGTTTGGTGCCGCCCTCCTCCTCTTCTCCTCTAACAGAGATGATCTCTGAGAGCGGAACACTGTGACCCATGTCTGCAACAACAGGGACGAACATTCAGGGCTTCAGAATCAGAATTAAGACCTACATATAGGGACAATACACATGTAGACAAAATTGTTTGTACCGCTCACTTAAAGAAAGAAGAAACACAATGGTCACAAAACTAACTTGAAATGTGCAAAAGTAAAGAATAAAAATCATACGGAAGTAAACACATCAAAGTCAGAGTTGCTTTTCTACCATGCTTTAATAGAATAAAAAAAATAAACCGCACACAGACCGTTTCTGCCTCATCATGTGCGCTAGTGTTGATGATGTCACCAGTGCGACAAAAATCAGGAAAGTAAACAATGGAGAACAACACGGAAGGGAGCCAGGGCATAGTAGTGTGCTTTACTGTTTCGCACTCTTATCTGGCCAAATCTCTCTTTCCAGCCCTGGACCATGTTTATCTAATGTAAACAGAGTTGTTTCTGCTTGTTAGATCAGACACGAGTGGCAGGGTGTGTTGACATCAGTACTTTTTGCTCAATAGTGTCACGTAATTTAGCATGTTGAGGTGGGTCTGGTGTTCCCACAGCATGCCGATCAGAGCCAAGGCGTTTGTAACGCGGGTCGCTTGCCGAGTCATTTGACCCGGGTAGACACGCATCAGTGAGCTGTTCCCAGTGCCACTAAAAGCTGATTGTTCCCGAGTTTAAACAGGTTTTTTCGGCCAGTAGGAAAGGGGTACAAGTTAAAGTTAGATGCATGTATGGATTCGGTCATCTCCGTTCAAAACAGCATCAGGCATATGTAAATATGAATGCGGAGATCAATCAAAGCAGCTTACAGTAGATTATAACAATGTTTTACAAATACATCAAACAATAGCGGCAATGCAGCAAGATGGTGTAACTGAGACAAATAGTCATAAAACCACAAAATAGTTGCCTCCAAACCATGTTGCCAAAGGAGGTGTGATTAACAGTACTGGGGAGCACAATGGGTGTAAAGCTCACAAAATGGCAACCACTATCATATGACCAAACAAAAGTACTAGGGCCAACAATAGAGGGACACACAATGGGTCACAATTCATTGAATGGCAGCCCCTACACTACGTGACCACAATGAGGCTTTCAGGGACTGACAATGCTAGCAGCTCACCTTTAGCAGATTAACTTTAGGCCATAGGAAAGAAAGATGTAAAGAAATGACCCAATGGCAGCCACTCCTACTCTCATTGACACACACACTTCATGCAATCAGTGTTACGCTCAGAACCTTAAACCATCAGCTTTAAATTTTCAATTTCTATAAAATGCATGCAAAACCTAATTACGCCCGCCCAAGGTTGAGCACCTAATTGAGTATCAGATAAAAATAAAAGGAAAGGAGGTTTTACCATCTGTAGATTCAGTGGACAGGAGGATGGAACACTGTGTCATCCTGGGTCCAGTCCAATCTTCTTCCAAGGCTGGGGCAGCTCTTGGGGATATTTGAATCACTCTGATGCAATAACAAAAATATTTTGAAGGGCTTTAAATCAGTGAAAACTCGCTCACTAGAGCAGGTAGATGATGGCATCCTCCACTCGATGTCAGGTCGGTGAGCAACCTGCATGCAGGTCCACAGTGGGGCTCACCACTGTGCGCACGTGAGCTAGGATGAGGCGCTCCACGGTCTTCATCAAGTGGGAGGTCAGGGTGACTGATCTAAAGGGGGCCGGTTCCTTGGCTTGCAGTGTTCTGGGAACCGGTACCACACAGATCTTCCAAAGAATGGGGCCCACACCCAGGCTAACGCCCAGGTTGTAAATGTGGCCAAGAACCTTGCATAGCTCATCAGCACAGTTCCTCAGCAGCCTTCGACCTCTCACTTAACTTGATGCTGTTCTTTTGTCTGTCCTTTGAGTTGAAAGCCATTTTTTCTGGTTCAGGAGGACTTTCAGCTCAGGAGTCCCCCAGTGGTGGTTGTTTGTAAAGCTCATGCTCACCGCGAGTAGCTCCACCTCCGGGGGGCATGTCTGTTCCCTCACATAAACATGAACCGCGTTGCACCATCTCTCATTCACAAACATTGCCAGACACCCTCCTCTCTTTTTTCCACTCTACTAACCAATGGTAGATATCTTTTCCTCCGCTTCATCCTGCCATCCCTGCAGCTTCTCGGTTTTCTCCTTATTCCTGCAGGGATGTCTTGTCTCGCAGCATGGTAGGGAACAGGGCTGCTGTGCATAGAGGCAGTAGTCCAAGGAGCTGCTCTCATGTGCAAACAATAGGTTTGGAGTTTTGGACAAAGGGTTCCCCCATTGCAGCATCAGAAATTGCAGAAAGCAGGAGAAAGCTCAACACTAGTTCCAGAAGTTGGCTTCCTCTGTGCACATACTTTCAGAATATCAGATACGGTATTCACCAATAGAAAAACATTCCAAAAAACAATATAAAACGGAGAAAGTAGGAAAGGAGAACACGGAGCTGACATAACAGGCTGCTGCATGCACAGCATCATCTTATACCCAGCAGCATGTGTTTGAACGGTGCAAGAGGGCTCACCTTCGTCTATTCTCCTCAAACAGTAAAAGAGGTTGAGAAAGGCAAAAAAAAAAAAAAAAAGAACTGAACTAATCACTTGAAAATTTCACGAGGTGCAAAGCCAAAAGTACAAAGACTTTCCCTGGACCTTGCAATGTCTGCAGATCTTTGAGCACCGAAGGTGAGGAAGTCTGTGGCCATCTGTGTTGGGTGCAGTGATACAAAATTTTAAGGGACAACCTATGTATTTTCTTAGGAATACTGATCCAAGACTCCTGTTCTGACTCTTGAAGGAGGCGGTCGCAAATTCCTGCTGCTCCTGCACCTCCCTGCTCTCTCCCTGCTTTGCTGTGTCTTGTCTTTTCTGAGCTCTCTCTTCATGTCACCCAAACTTAAACAATGGATCTGGACAACTGGTCTCTCAATGCAGTTGATCAGTTTTTCTCAACTGGAAGACAGGGAAAAGGGAACCCGTCCTTTCCTGCCGGAACATACTTCATGGGATACACCATGGACTCCTGGAAGGCTTGGAGGATGATGTGCTTCACAATGCTATCAGTGGAGGATATCGAAGATGTATTTTTGGTTGTATGATACTCGGATTTCTCCTGTTTGGATTTGGAGGATACCTGATGTATCTACAATTACAGAAGATGTCGCCGGCAATTTGGGCACTGATCAGGTTGCCAGCAGTGTTTGACACCAGTTGTGAATGAGCAAGATCAGGAGATGAACCGTATGCTGGGTGGGATTGAACGCAGGCTGGCTGCGGTGGTTGAACTCAAAGGTGAGGTGGGATAATATCTTGGATGTGCACGCTCACTTCAAGGTGGAAAAGCCAGCAAGAAAAGACTCAAGGCTGAAGGAAAATTCCTGTGCAGCCTGCTCTCAAAACAAAAAGTGTTATTCTGGATTCAGTCTATCCCCCTTATCATTACATTTTATCAAGGCCAATGGCCTATGGACAGCGTCCATGGACAAATTGAACGCACTCATCATACACACACAAGTAATATCTCAAATGTCAGATTGACTTCACGTGACTCCGCCTGCTATGTGACCATCTGCTAAAATGTGTCTCATGTTACATGTGCTTTTCTTGTGCTGTTTTTTTTTAATATCTCAAACTGTGTCCTGTCAAGGATAAAGTGTGAAATATTCACCCCAAACTGAAATCTCGATTGCAATGTAAACTATAGTTGACAACAAAGTTGATTGATTGGCTGACTAGAAGATGGATTGAGATGAGCCCAAAGCTCCACAAGCATTCCCATTTCTCCTGTGATTTTCCATGGCAAGGGCGATTGGTGCACATGAGCCAACACACAAAATGTAATTCCTGCTTAGCTCAGTGGAGCTAGATTAGATATAGCCTGTCAAATGGTTAATTTTGGTACATTTCTGAGATTCATGTTCTTAGGTAAACAAAGACAGTAATGAAGAGCATCAGTATGACTCATTGATCCATTTAATGCTAACATACAGATTTTGTGTTAGGAATAAATATAAATAAAAATCTGCAGTTGTCCCTTTGTTGGTGGTATTTTTGATTTTGAAGGTATTAGCTGGATAGATAAAGTTCAACTATGGGATACATTGCCAATAAGGGCTTTGGAACGGTCAGGCTGAGCTAAATCAGGTCTACACCAGGTTCCAAGCTAATGTGTTTTTTCAATCAGCAGTCATTAATGAGGCAGCCATTAACTAAAAATAAATAAATAAACATAAAAATAAACAAATAAATCATAACAATAATAATAATAATAATAACAACAGCAATAATAACAATAAATAAACAAACTACAGCAAGCCAGTCGGGACACCATTTAGCATGTTTCTGTTGGATCTCTAGCTGATGGACACAATCCACACTTCTAACAAAAAGGAGGTTGTTCCAAATTTGATTTTGATCATCAAGTCCTCTGTAGATAGCTCAAGTTTTGGAATCAATTGCCAATTTAGCATTTTAAAGTAACCTTGCTGACATTCCTGTGGCTGCTGCTGTCATATATCCATTTTTTCAGAATCCAAAATTTCATCTTTGAAAGACGATCACCAATGTGTTATGAAGGAATTTGTTTTGGTTTCCCATGGTGCCTGCTGCATAAAACATTTTCATTTTGGCCTAAATCAAGCTGTGGTAGGCAGTCACCAAGTGTCACTTCACCCAATTAGCCAAAAAACGTCTGCTGAATGTCCCTCTTTTTCCAAAATGTGTTTGAATGGGAGCAGTCATAAATCGATAATGTGTACAACCAAACCTGAGTATTACACATTATCAATGTAGCTAACTAGTTTATCAAAAAAAGTTTACAGTGTTGGTTTCATTAGAGAACAACAACACAACAAGCCCACCAGGCTTCCAGCACAGCCATCAATCACAGAAGCATGTTCAAACAGCAGAACCACAAGGACTAAACCTAACATTTGCAGCAGAGAATGAGAATGAGCGCATTTTGGGATTAAAGACTCCTACCTGAGTGTAACTGACGATGAAACAAAGGAACACAAAACCCTGTAGGAGAACAACACAAAGTTAATGGAGAGGAGCTCATTCTTCCAAGCCAGGTCACACCGGTTGTATCTAACTTTTTAATCTCCAATGCATTTCATGTCATACTGACTGCAGTCAGACAGGGTACAAGCAACTTCTGCCTATATTATATATATACGTAGAGCAGATGTTTTTTTTTTTTTTTTTCAAATCCATGTCTCCCTTGCTGTCAGAGCCAGAAAATTGTGTCAGGTGTGATCATCCCCGTTCACTTTCAGTGAGCACCAAACACATCTTATAACACATTTTTCAGTCAGATCCTGTTCGGCCTTTATAACTTTTATGGCCTTAATAAATCCTGTTCAGTGTGTACAGGACTTCTGAAGACTGCAGGTTCTAAACATCTCACCAGCTGGCTGTGCTAGTGCAACCAATTTTATTAAACATTTAATGAAAATTTTCCCCATCACAAAAAGGGTGATATAGTTGAAAAAAATAAGGGTTTCCTACTGTAAGGATAAGACATTTTTCTTCTTTGTTCAAATCTAATTGGAAACTTAAGCTTAAAATTTAGTACAGAAAGTTTACATTCTCAAAAGCTAAAATTGGAACTCTTGAAAGTCACACAGAAGCATTAATAAGAAATGAAAACTCTCAAGTTCTCAGATTCATAAAGGCTGCTGTGAGGTAGTTCAATCAACTCTAAGTAGGTCCACTCAGAGTTGAACACGTGCATTGCAAGTATGAAAAGGCATCATTGGTGGAGCCCCGATGCAACGACTCACTATGATGACAGGCAACAAGGCAGTCCCAATTTCAACCCACTGGTACAAGAAATTTTAATGCAATCATTCATTTTTAATGCAGACATTAAAGAAATAAATGGAAAGGACAGAGCAACAGGGCAACAGCGGCATAGTGCTCCCTGGAGGGAGGCTTAGCCTTTCATACTTTGAAAACCCCTGGTCTAGATAAAAGCTATATTGGATAAATTTCTTTGAGGTTTGAGTTCTGGCGCGAACATCTTTTCCATCGTCATTACTTACCTACTTTTATCAATATAATTCTACATTAAATTGATATTTAGAAGTACTAAAATCTACATAAATTGATAATTTAATAGGGTTTTATTAAAATAGTTATTTACAGTATCTATCATTTTACTGAAGACTCTTCGATGACCTGCAGAGACACATAATTTTCTCTTTACAGCGTATAACACAAAATCTATTTCTGAAAGAGCAGGAATTGTGTACTAATCATCTATAATGTTTGTATGCTGATGTGCATAATTAACCACAGTGTTTTTGTGGTCAAGTAATTGTTTATATAAATAAAATAAAATGTTTGAATATTCTACTTGAGAGGGGGGAAAATGGTAGGGGTGGCCAATGATTGGCTAAGGGTCACCCCTGGCCCCCCATCTAACTCCGCCCCTGAACATGTCCCCTCCGTCACTCGGCCCTCAGCCAGTGTTATACTGGCAGACAAAGAGGATTAGCAGGAGAGCGTGTCAGTTCTTACTGGGTCTGAAGCGGTACATCGGGCTGGAGGTCAGCCTCTTCCATGTCAGCAGGGACCGACTCAGGCTCACATCATACGCCGTGTTTCTGATGCAGAGCTGGGAAACCAGCAGCAGTCTGCTGGGCCTCTCCATAGCAGTCTGATCCCCAAACTCAGCTCCCGAGTCGGCAGCGGCAGACCCCCTTTGTGTCACGTCCGTTTGATCATGTTGCCGTTAAGTTTCTCGGATAGTTCGCCAATCCACCAAATGAGACTCTTGTTCGGAAACAGCTGCTTGGTTCCGCGTAGCGGATTCCAGCTTCGGGATGTTTTCTGTTTTTGCCGACAGATAGCGGTTTCCCTCCGGATGTGGGAGGAGCTTAGTGTTGCATTCAAGTGCTTCAGACGCCGGTGTTTCATAACCTGTTCAACTCTAGTTCAACACTTCTTCAACAAGGGGTACGCGACCCCTAGGGGGCGCACGGAGGTACTGCATGGGGGTCGCGAAAGATTTGGTTGATTAGACTTTTTTTTATATATATTCCACTTATTGAAATGTCTTTAAATACACATTAACACGAATTCAACACACTGTAGTAAACAGATAAACGGAGGCAGAAGATGTCTTTCAGTCATCAATGCACACATTCAGTGACACACAGGAGCTCTTTCAAGCTGGGCACCGTTTCATTCACAACACCTGTCCCATCAACCAGTAATCAGAATCAGGAATACTTTAATAATCCCATGGAGAAATCACTTTCTTTGCATGACTCCAACTGTAATAGAGTGACTATAGTGACTATAGGACCAGTTTGATATAACACAGTATAATTAGGGGGTCCACTCTCCATCTTGCCATCAGTTTGGGGGTCCTTGGCCTGGAAAAGACCCCTGCCCTAAAACATTACAGCTCTTGCAGGAAAAAAATCCCCTATTATCCAAAAATAGACTGTGTATCTGCATATTGGCAGCTCCATCCTCCCCCATACAGTCTGGCTTTCAGCACTCTCTGATAATATCAATGTCTGCATATCTTCATCTGTCCCCTCCTCTCTCCTACTCAGTTCACGTCAACTGCTCTGGCACCTTTGGTAATGGTTGAAGGTAAAAAAAAAAAAAAGAAGCAATTATCTCTCAGGAGGAATTAATTTCATAGTCAGAGGCTGAATAAAAACAAACAACACATGCTCCAATGCACCTAAACCATACCAAAGGCTTACTTTTCAAAAATATAATAACTAAATGTTTTAGTCAGTCTTTGTAGCAAATCTGCGTCTGGATGGAAGCAACTTGTATTGATCTTGCAATGAGTTGCTGGATCTGTCAGGTTTGCCCTTTCAGAACTGACCTCTCATCATACAAATTGGTTAGATGTATTTTTTTCCATGCCATTGCCCAAGACAGCATTCACTTCTGGCCAGGGGTAACCTTTACATACTAAAATAC